CAGCTCTTCTGTTATTCTATTCTATTCTATTCTATTCTATTCTATTCTATTCTATTCTATTCTATTCTATTCTATTCCATTCCATTCCATTCCATTCCATTCCATTCCATTTCATTTCATTTCATTCCTGTTCTGTTCTGTTCTGTTCTGTTCTGTTCCGTTCTGTTCCATTCTGTTCCGTTCTGTTCCGTTCCATTCCATTCCATTCCATTCCATTCCATTCCATTCTATTCTATTCTATTCTATTCTATTCTATTCTATTCTATTCTATTCTATTCCCCATGTACTGGATAAAAAGTCCCAGAAATTACCTGGCATAACTGGACATTGGCAATCCTCTTTCCGTGCCTCATTATGACTGACTAGGTTCCTGATCCATGCATTTCATATAAGGCATATGCCAGGGGTGTCAAACTCAATTTCATTGAGGGCCACATCAGCATTGCAGTTGCCCTTGCGGGGCCAGGTGGGTGTGGCCAGGGTGGGTGCGGCCTACTGAGTGGGTGTGGAGGGTGTGGCCTACTGGGTGGGCATGGCCAGGGCCAAGGCAGCGGGGGCCGTTCCCTCACTGTTTCCAAGATGGCTTCGTGGGCCACATGAAACTACTTCGCGGGCCGCATCCAGCCCCCGGGCCTTGTGTTTGACATGTCTGGCACATGCCATAGTATAAATGGCATTGTAGACATTATAATTTTTGCCTGTCATGCTCATTCCAAACATGTAATATGGCAGCTTCTATAAATTCTCCTTTCCTGTACATTGTTTCCCCCTCTTTTGAGGGATCTCTCCTGGTTTCTGGATCTTGCAGCCAATAAGCATCTCCCATCATAGAGGGAGAAAGACTTCTCCTTGAGGGTTCAAGGGGTCTAAAGACAGGAGGAATTGCCTGAATTCTGGGGCATCACGGCTATAATCCCTGAAATGCAAGCACCATGGAAGAACTTTATGTATTTCCCTAGAATTTGCCCCCAGGCAATCTCACCAGAGCTTTGGCAGAAAATAAACAGGCTGTGCCATGTGGATGGCCTTGCATGGGCATTTAATGTCAAGTATGCTTTGGCTTACATGCTTTGAGTTGCCACCAAAGAGAAAATGGAAGCCAATTAAATGTCATTGATTGCAAGAAATGGCTTCTTTGCAAGATAAGCTAAGGTGACAGATCCAGTCGGCATTGGGAGAATTCAGAACTTTATTTCTTTCCTCCTTTTGTGGGAGGAAATCCACAGGGGATCCAGTAAGAATTACTGTTCTTCCGATAATTGCAAGGAAGAGTAACATCCTATCCCCTTAGCAATACTTCACTTCATACACCAGAAGGGGGGGGGGGAAACATATTTGTGCCTCTTGTTGTCAAGGTTGAATTGCTAAGATGCTTGCTAACCTCTGTAGCTGCTCAACTTGCCATAGAAACAGGGGGGGAGGGGGAGTCTGGGAAAGAAATGGGAGTTTCAGGAAGCCATCCGTGGACTAAAAGAACCAAGGTCATCCAAAGCAGGTGTCTGGCATAGAAGTGGACCATTCCCATAACAAACAGAAAGAATGTGATTGGCCAATGTGAACACATGGTGGGTGAGGGTTATTTATTTATTTATTTATTTATTTATTATTTGAATTTATATCCCGCCCTTCTCCTTGCGGACTCAGGGCGGCTGACAATCAATTAAAAACACCACTAACAATCACAAGTTAAAATTAATTAAAATGAAATATTTAAATTGTCTAATTAAAAAGTAATTAAAAACCCTCTAAAAAACCCCTCTTAAAAATTATCCTAG